TTCCAATAATGTAAAAAGTTTTCATTAAGACTAATAAAGATAAGAGCATGGTCTCACCTTAAACATTAAAAAAAAAATAATAATAAATTATATTAAATATCTAAATTTATACAATGATCTACATTAGGCATATTGTTTACTTGTTTACATTTTTTGGTTATTTGTTTACATTTTTTTAACCAATTAAAACAAATATCCACCATGCTCTTCTAGATGAAACTACAATCAACTCTATAAGCTAGACAAACAATTTTAACGCAGAGGTTCTCGCAATAGCAAAAAAGCTTCAAGTATTAGTCGCTAGCAATATCGCTGAAGAAGGATGGAGAATCTGCTCATTACAGAACCCAAGCCAAGAAATTAGAAAAATACTACAAGATAATAATTATCTAAGCAATTTAAAAAGTATATAAAAGCTAGGGTTATGGTACATAGATTAAATTATACTTGAAAAGAAGCAAACACTACTAACCTGGCAGCAACTGAGACGAATTAGAGGTATTTTCATGAAAGGCAGAGTGCCAAATTGGTTTATAAAGCTAGAAGATATACTAATAAATGATCCAGATCGAAGAACAATCAAAACTTGCTATAGAAAACAGAACCTCGGGAATCCACAGCTACAAATAAAACAAAAAGCTCTCAAAATTACCAACAAAAAATCTAGATATAAATAAATCCTTGCTAAAAAGAAAAACTGTAATGAGTTAATTTTTGGCAGAATAGACAAAAAACTTACTAATAGTAAAATTGAAATTAAAAAATGGAAAGAGAGCGACAAAGAAAATAGAAAAAGATCTAGCCACCAGCAAACTAGAGTCCAAATAAAAGAAGAGACACAAAACAAGAAAGTAAGAATAAACCAAAAGAGCTCTGAGGATATTAACAACTAGGTTAGAAGAGAGACAGAAGGCTGGAACCTGCTAACTGATCTAGAATCACTAAAAGCTACCTTCTCTTTAAATCCAAGCAATCAAAAAAACCTAGCTAGCTAAACATATTCTAATAGACAGCATTAAGCCAAAAGATTGCAATCAAATTAGTATAGAAAAATTGATTGCAAACCAAGATGAAGTAGACGAAATACTGAAAGCTCTAAAAAATAATCAGAAATTTCATATTCTAACATACTATAAAGATAGCTTACTAGCAAAATCTAATACAAACAGTTGTCTAGCTAGTTATAGCATAGTCCAAGTAGATAGTAAAGATAGAATAGTAAGAGAAATAAAAGGCAAAGTAGAGAATTGGTATTCTTCAACAAGATCAGAACTTATAGCTATACTTCAAGCAATTTTAATATCTTCCTCAAACAAAAAAGTTGAAATATATACAGATAGTTAAGCTGCGATCCAAGCGATTAACCGATCCCTAAAGATAGAAAGAACAAGAGAATAGTACAAGACAAAGAATAGTAATATTCTAGGCAAAATAAGAGAAAACATACTAACCAAAAATATTGCTTTAACACTCTATAAAGTTAAAGCCTATTCTGGAATCATATTTAATAAAAGAGCTGACAACTTAGCAAAGCAGGCTTTAAGACTCTCCACTCCCACACATATCTTAACTAGCAATACAAAAGGTTATCTATTCTCACCAACATGGAATGCACACCATATAGAAGTCTCTATATGATCCTTTATTAAAAACTTCCTAAACACCTACTACAAAGCGGAGTGGACTTTCTACAAACATCAAAGTGACGAAACTTATAGTAAAAGAAATGAAACCAAAGATTGAAAGACCTTCAAATCTTTCTGGCAAAAAACACAAAGTTCTGGAGAAAGCAGTCTCAAATCAAACAAACAATGAGCCTTCAGAATCAAATCTGTAGATGCTTTACTTCCAGCACTCGTTAAAAGGAAACGAGACCAAGAGACTTTATATGACACTACAATCTGCCAGAAATGCAAATCGGAAGAGGAAACCTTTGAACACCTAACAAATTGTTCTGCTGATAAAAATATATGGAGTATCCCAAGTTAAAAGGGCCCATTTTTATATTTTAAAAAAAATTTTTTTATTAGATTTATTAATAGATATACATTCAAAGAAAAAAATTATTATAAAGCACAAGAACAAATTACATAATAAAAAAATTAGTGAAATGCTAAAAACCAAAAAAGTTAAGCTAATCTAAGAATAGAAAAGATCGATTTCTAGATTGACAAGAAGCTAATAGAATATTCTAGAAATTTAAATCTTCAACTTTAATTACCATTTTCTTGTTATCGTTTTTTTAGTTTTTAATAGTGGGTTTTCTAAGCTAAAACTAAATTTTCTTCATCATTTCATGGTATCTTTTGAGGTCTCCAGTGATTTTTGATTATTTTGAACTCTTGATTCTTCTGGGTTTTGGTGTTTGACTTGAACTGGTATAAGGATAAGTACTTGTCCAAGTTTCTATTTCTTGTTTTTTGTTTCTTTTTTCTAACATTTTTTTCACTTTTAGATTTGTTCTTTGGATCATAAAATGGCACATTTGGAACATGTAATGGTGTCGGTGGTTTTTTGTAGACTCTTTGATTCTCTCAGAGAATCAAAAGAATCTACAAAGAACTACTGATGATTCTTGGACTTTTGATTCTCCCAGTGTTGGGCTCTCAATTCTCCTGGTACTTCTGGACTCTTTTGATTCTCCCAGTCTTGAAAGATAAGTACAGTCCAAGTTTTCTATTTCTTTTTTGCTTCTTTTCTATTACTAACATTTTTTTTCTCTTTTAGGTTTGCTCTTTACTTCAGAACATGAAGTGGCATGCGATTTAGATCATGTAATAGCACTGGTGATTCTTTATGGACTCTTTTAATTCTCCTAGAAAATCAAAAGAGCCCACAAAGAACTACCAGAGCTCTTTTGATTCTTCTAGTAGTAGACTCTTTCAATTATCCTAGTGGTAGACTTTTTCGGTTCTGGACTCTTTTGATTCTCCTGGATTTTGGTGATTACTTGAACTGGTATAAAGATAAGTACCAGTCCAAGTTTTTTATTTCTTTTTTGTTTCTTTTCTATTACTAACATTTTTTTTTCTTTTTTAGGTTTGCTTTTTACTTTGGAATATGAAATGGCATGCGATTTAGATCATGTAATGGCATTGGTAGTTTTTATGGACTCTTTTAATTCTTCTAGAGAATCAAAAAAATCCACAAAAAACCACCAGTGATTCTTAGAGCTCTTTCGATTCTTTCAGTAATGGACTCTTTTGATTATCCCGGTGGTAGACTTTTTCAGTTCTGGACTCTTTTGATCCTCCTGGATTTTGGTAATTACTTAAACTGGTATAAAAATAAGTACCAGTCCAAGTTTTTTATTTCTTTTTTTACTTCTTTTCTATTACTAATATTTTTTTTCTCTTTTAGATTTGCTCTTTACTTCATAACATGAAATAGCATATGATTTAGATCATACAATGGTGCTGGTAGTTCTTTGTGGACTCTTTTAATTCTCCTAGAGAATCAAAAAAGTCCACAAAGAACCACTAGTGATTCTTAGAGCTCTTTTGATTCTTTTAGTGATAGACTCTTTCGATTATCTCAGTGGTGGACTTTTTTAGTTCTGAACTTTTTTGATCCTTCCAGATTTTAGCAATTACTTGAACTGGTATAAAGATAAGTACTAGTCCAAGTTTTTTATTTCTTTTTTGCTTCTTTTCTATTACTAATGTTTTTTTTCTCTTTTAGATTTGCTCTTTACTTCAGGACATGAAATGGCATGTGATTTAGATCATGTAATGGTGCTGGTGGTTCTTTGTAGACTCTTTTAATTCTCTTAGAGAATCAAAAGAGTCCACAAAGAACCACTAGTGATTCTTAGAGCTCTTTTGATTCTTCTAGTAATAGACTCTTTCGATTATCTTGGTGGTGAACTTTTTCAGTTCTGAACTCTTTTGATCCTCCCAGATTTTGGTGATTACTTGAACTGGTATAAAGATAAGTACCAGTCCAAGTTTCCTACTTCTTTTTTGTTTCTTTTCTATTACTAATATTTTTTTTTCTCTTTTAGATTTGCTCTTTACTTCAGAACATGAAATGGCATGCAATTTAGATTATGTAATAGTGCTGGTGGTTCTTTGTGAACTCTTTTAATTTTCCTAGAGAATCAAAAGAGTCCACAAGAACCACCAGTGATTCTTAGAGCTCTTTTGATTCTTCCAGTGGTGGACTCTTTTAATTATTCTGGTGGTGGACTTTTTTGGTTCTAGACTCTTTTGATCCTCCCAGATTTTGGTTGGTGATTCTTTTTAGACTTTTTTGATTCTTCTAATGATTTTTTTGAACTTTTAATGCTTCTAATAGTTTGTAAAATTTTTTTTGATTTTTTTAGTAGTTTTTTGTATACTTTTGATATTATCTGTAGATTCTTTGATTCTTTTAGTTTTTTTTAAAGATTTTTAGTAATTTTGTCAATTTTATTAGTATTTTTTACTTTTATGTTTTTTTTTTAGATTTTTTTTTAAATTAATATATTAGTATTTATTATTAGATAATTTCCATTTGTATACTAAGTATATATATACAGATAATGAGAAAATTAATTAGATTACATGGTTAGATATAATATAAAATTATTGTTTTTTTTAAAAAAATCATTTATAACTTAAAATAAAATTATTTTTTGGATATTAATAAAAAAATTTTCTTGTGAAATTTTGAAATAAATTGTTTTTACTATTATTTTAAGTTTACTTTTACTTTAATTTTAAATAGTATTCAATTTTGTTTTATATAAATTATTTTAATTTATATATTTATTAGATTTGCAAATTAATATCTATATAATATATTATATATACCATATAGTACTGTATATAGTATCCCCAGTCTTTTTTAAAAAGTACTAGTATTAATTAAATAGTACTCTGGAGTATTGTGTAAAGAATAGGTACTATACAAGAGGGATACTATGAAAGTTTTGATTATGTGAGTTAATCATATAAAGTTAAAAATAGTAAAAATGAGTTGAAGATTAATTAGTATTAAGATACTTTTCAAAAATGTTAAAATTTACAATTAAATAGTACCTCAATACTATTCAAAAGGGGTACTTTACCAGAGAGATACTATATGTAATACTATATAGTAAGCTAAAAAAATTTATTATTATTATTATTTATTAATTAAATTAATATAATTTTAAAGATTTAAAGATTATTAATATTTATTATAAAATTTATTTTATTTAGATTTTGGTTTAGTAATAGTAGGTATTGAACACAAATCATCTTTTTTACTTGGATTTTGTATATGATTTCTTATTGTTCATATAAATACTATTGTCGTTCTGCACTAAGACCAGGTAATTTTTTTTCAACTAATTAATTTAAATTATTATTTTGCTTAGTTTTTTCTATTTGTATTAATGTTTTTTCTCCATAAGATGATGTACTAATTTTAATATTTTCTTGATTTAACTTATTAAATTCAAAATAATATTGTTTTAAAATATTTGGTATTGTTGTAAATTGTTGTTTTAGCCAATTTGTCTATTCATAAAAATGTACAATTTGATTTTTTTTATAATCAAATACTGTTTGTGCAATATTATATCTACCAGAAGTTGAATTTTGAACTACTTTAACTAAATTATCAAGATTATCTACTTCAGATTTTCTTAAAAGTAATTTTATAAGTCTAAAAAATCTATCTGGACTAAATTTAGTATGTCTTGCAACCATAAAACAATAAGTTATACTATCATATAATCTAGTTAAAACTCTCCAAGCTAAATATGCTATTATAGCATTATTCTTATTTTGTCCTGAGCAATTATCTGTATGAATTACTAATTTTTTTTTTCCTAAACCATGTAATTCAAAATAATTATGAACTAAAGAAATAACTGTATCTGCACCTTTACCAACTAATTCATTTTCTTTAATAAGATAGTTTACCTAAAAATATTATTTTATAAAATATATTAATATAAATATTTATTATAAATTTAATTAATAATTTAATAATAAATTATAATATTTTACTTGACGTGGAAATGCATCATCACATATTCCAAATAAATGAACTTTATATAAAGATTTAAAATAAACTTCACCCTAATAAAAATATAATTTAATAAATAATTTATTATTAATTCATACTAAAAATAACTTACTTCTTGTTAAGATAAATATGGTAGTTAAATTTGTTGTGCATAATCCCAAGATAAATGAACTGTAATATCTAATAAATTAGGTTTTCCAGGACATACTAAATTATTAATTCCAATATTTTGAATATCCTTATAAGCTATATTAATTTATTGTCTAAAAAGTTTAAATATAATAAAAAATTAAAAATTTAATATTTAAAAAATTAAAAATTAAAATTATTTACTTGTAATTTTCACATTCTTTATGTGTTTATTTAATATGCTGATGCCATTCTAATACTTTTGCTTCTTTTTCTTCTACTGATCAATAATTTGCATTAAATCTCATATCTTTACATTTTAAACACAAATCACTATGTAAGGTTAATTTTTTAATATATGGTAAAAATTTTTTCTAAATTGTACTAAATGTTGATAAGCTAACTTAAAATTGATTATTATTTTCTATTGCATTAATATATTGTATATATAAAGATGAATAAGTAACATCTGCTAGTAAATATATTATTGTACATGTATTATCACAAAAACTTCATCCTATTAAAAATTTAAATTAATAAAAATTAAAAAATAAAAATATTTAATTAAAAACTTACTAGGTGATGGTAAACCATTTTGCTTTGCAAAATTTCTTATAAAAGTAATTACCTTCATTATAATTTCAAATGATAGTGTATTATTACTAATTTTATTAGTTTTTGAATTTTTACATAAATTTATATTATTTTCTACAAAATGATCTCTTAAATTTTTCTATCTTTTTTCTCCAAGTCTATAAATTATTCTAAAAGCCTTTAAACAAATTGACTTTCCTTCAAAAATATACTCAGTAGAAAGTTTGGATTTTTTGGAATTTCAAACTATTTTAGATCGTTTAGTAGCAGATATAATACCTAATAAATATATATCTTGATAAGATTTAGAAAGGTTCTTAAAATTTAAATGTTGAGATAATGCGACAGAATATTCACATTGAGTTTGTAAACAATTTTTTTCACAACAACCTTTGTTAAAAGATTCCTTAAATTCATTATTTTGCAATAAATTTATTTTATCTTCTAATTCTTGATTATTATTATCTTGTTTTTCAAATGAATCTATTGTTTTGTAATATAATATTTTGAACTTAGAAAGCTCAAGTTCAGTCCAAATTTCATTATCTAAAAGAGGATTTTCTATAGATTCTAAATTTTCCAAATTTTCAGATGAAGATAAATTATTATTTTCAAGAACTAAAAATTAAAATTGCAAATTTGAAAGATCTGTTTGCAATTGAGTATTTTCTGTATAAGTTTCTTCAAAAATATTTTTGTTTAAAGAAAAGCTAGACATTCTTTAAAAAATAAATTTTAAAAAAACTTTTTAATAAAAATTAAATTTATTTTATATATATTTTAAATACAATACAGATTATATCTATTATAATAAATCTATATAAAAATTATATACAGATTTATTACAATAAATAAAGTTTTTTTAAACAATAAATAAAATTTATATTATTATTAAATTTAGCTAAATAATCATTGTTCAAAAATTTTATAAAGTTAAATTTAAAAAAAAAACAATAGGACCTGTAGATCTTTAGTATAGTAATTGTGCTTATGGATTATTAATCACAAAGGTTGCCAGTTAGAGGAGATAATCAACTATGTCAAAACAATGATTGTAGATCAATTATATATCAAGAAACTAATAAATATATAAATTCTTGATGCTTAAGTTATGATCTATCACTATAACTGAAGATAGTCCTTACAAATAAAGGTATGATAATTAGAAAACTGGGGTAAATCAATTAAAACTCCCCAGATAGGATAGCTCTGATGAAATTCTGGGTTGATTCAAGACACTTTGGGTAAAACTCCTAGTATTAGCAACAATAGAAAAAAGACTATGAGGCTATGACAATAAAAAACTGCAGACTCTGAGATCAGGGTCCTACACCATGAGACTAGAGACTCGGGATATCACAAAGGTAATAGACTTGATTCTACATGGCATGAAGAAGCTGGGGAATACCACAGGTGATATATGCAGCAACGAAATATGTTAATTCATCGAAGGACCTTCAGGATGTGTAATAAGGTAAAAAAAAAAGTATTATTGATGTAAATTCATACATACAAGAGTGAGCAATGCAGATTTGATAAATTCAATTTTATAGCTGTTTTCATAAATTCTAAACAATCAAGATTTTATTAATAAATGAAAATTTATACATTATAAAAGTTTTTATGTATAAAAATTATTACAAAATATAGATCGAAAAGAAAACCAGAATGAACATGAATCAGATAAAATTATTGAAACAATAAATTTAATGACTAAAGAACCTTTAGCTTGTTCATCTATAATAAATATTATAAAAACACTTGGAAAAATCATAAGGAGAATCGAAAGTGTTCAGAAAAAATCAATAGGAGAATTAAAAAAGTTCAAAACCAAGAGAATCAAAAGAGTCCACAAAGACCACTGAAAGAATCAAAAAAGTTTACAAATATCTACTGAGAGAATTAAAAAAGTCCACCACTAGGAGAATCAAAAGTTTAAGAATTACCAGCGGTTCTTTGTAGACTTTTTTGATTCTCTAGAAGAATCAAAAGAGTCTACAAAGAACCACCAGAGCCATTACATATTCTAAATCATGCTATTTCATATCCCGAAGTAAAGAGCAAACCTAAAAGAGAAAAAAAATGTTAGCAATAGAAAAGAAACAAAAAAGAAATAAAATATTAGACTGATACTTATCTTTATACCAGTTCAAGTAATCACTAAACCCCAGGAGAATCAAAAGAGTCCAGAACCACCAGGATAATTGAAAAAGTTTACTACTAGGAGAATCAATAGAATCCACCATCAAGAGAATCAAGAGTTTAAGAATTACTGATAGACTCTTTTGATTCATCTGGAGAATTAAAAGAGTCCACAAAAAACTACCAAGCCATTATATGTTCTAAGTCGCATACTATTTCATGTCCTGAAGTAAAGAGCAAATCTAAAAGAGAAAAAAAATATTAGCAATAGAAAAGAAACAAGATAATTTGGACTGATATTTATCTTTATACTAGTATAAGTAATCACCAAAATTCAGAA